AGAGTCATTGAAGCATCATAAACGCTAAGCATTTATTTTTGTCTCATGACAACTAATTCATTACATTTAATGTTATTCACAACAGAACAGGAATGAAAATTTTAAAAATGAAAAGTAAAAAAAACAAACACATTAGTGGCATTCATTAAATGAAATATTGCAGTTTTTAAGTCAATGTAAAATGTTGTCCTTTTCAGGTTTATTACCGTTCACAAAAACTACTGAAACATTAATATATATATTAGATGGAAGATTGCAGTTAGTTGCCAGGGCAACATCTTTAATTTTCATTTAGTTTAAAGGGGTGATATGATGCTGCTAAAAAGAACATTATGTTGTGTATTTGGTGTAATGAAATGTGTTTATGCGGTTTAAGGTTCAAAAAACACATTATGTTCCACATACTGTACATTATTGTTTCTCCTCTATGCTCCGCCTTTCTGAAACGCTAGATTTTTACAAAGCTCATCGGTCTGAAAAGCGAGGTGTGCTGTGATTGGCCAGCTATCCAGTGCATTGTGATTGGCCGAATACCTCAAGCGTGAGACGGAAATGTTACGCCCCTCACCATACTGTGCTGCCTGCGGCAACCACATGTGACGACCCCGGGCTGGACTCCGCTTCGTCCACGGTGAAAGCTGATCCGGTGATCCACAGCGAAGTTGATGTATTTCTTCAGCGACCAGCACGGATCAGCTCTAGGCGTGACGAAGCGGATATCGTCCTCTTTTGGAAGACTAAACAAAGTAGTTTCGCTTTCACAATGAGAAACACAGCGTCAACCTTCTTTCTTTGCGTGAACATTTTCCCACATAGTGATGTAGATATGTGGGGGCGTGTTAGAACGAGCCGTTTTAGGGGGGCGTGGCTGACTCTTAACTTTTATAAAGAATATCTCTTTGGATTTGAGACTTTAGTCTTTGCAACTTTACAGATCTTCTTTATGCAGGAAGAGCTTGTAACACTCCAAAGAGAAAGAAACACGTGAAATCGCAGTAGTAATAATTTAGTAGAAATTTAGTAGTACTAAATTACTAACTGGAAAGTAAATTAAACCTAAAACTTAAATAAAAATAATAAATGAGACCTAGTATTACGTCTATAATATTATTTATACTATAATATTTAAAAAAATGTGTCCCTGCAGCACAAAAGCAGTGTTGAGTCGCTGGGGGATATTTGTAGCAATAGCCAACAATACATTGTATGGGTCACAATTATACATTTCTCTTTTATGCCAAAAATCATTAGGATATTAAGTAAAGATCATGTTCAATGAAGATATTTTGTAAATGTCCTACTGTAAATATATCAAAACTTAATGTTTGATTAGTAATATGCATTGCTAAGAACTTCATTTGAACAACTTTAAAGATGATTTTCTCAATATTTAGATTTTTTTGCACCCTCAGATTCCAGATTTTCAAATAGTTGTATCTCAGCCAAATATTGTCCTATCCTAACAAACCATACATCAATGGAAAGATTATTTATTCAGCTTTCAGATGATGTATAAATCTCAATTTCACACAATTGACCCTCATGACTGGTTTTGTGCTCCAGGGTCTCAAAAATATAAAAATGATAAAAGCATATAACAGAATTACAAATATTTTTTTTCAGAAATTAAAATGAAAACAAAGTATAAAATTTAAAAGCTATTTTAGAATGTTAATAAAAACTGTAATAGTAAATAAATACAAAACATAATGCTGGTTGATTTTAAACGCAACACAACAGCGTTCATTATGAGTTGATGAATGGAGTCTGATCTGATGACCAGCTCCTCATCTGTGTGTGTGTGTGTGTGTGTGTGTGTCTCTGTGTGTGTGTCTGTCTGTGTGTGTCTGTCTGTGTGTCTGTCTGTGTGTATCTGTGTGTCTGTCTGTCTGTGTGTGTGTATCTGTCTCTGTGCGTGCGTGTGTGTCTCTCTGTGTGTGTGTGTCTCTCTGTGTGTGTGTGTGTGTGTCTGTGTGTGTGTGTGTGTGTGTGTGTGTGTGTGTGCGTGTGTGTGTCTCTGTCTCTGTGCGTGTGTGTGTCTCTGTCTCTGTGCGTGTGTGTGTCTCTGTCTCTGTGCGTTTGTGTGTCTCTGTCTCTGTGCGTGTGTATGTGCGTGTGTCTCTGTCTGTGCGTGTGCGTGTGTCTCTGTGCGTGTGCGTGTGTCTCTGTCTCTGTGCGTGTGTGTCTCTGTGCGTGTGCGTCTCTGTGCGTGTGCGTCTCTGTGCGTGTGCGTCTCTGTCTCTGTGTGCGTCTCTGTCTCTGTGTGCGTCTCTGTCTCTGTGTGCGTCTCTGTCTCTGTGTGCGTCTCTGTCTCTGTGTGCGTCTCTGTCTCTGTGTGTGTCTCTGTCTCTGTGTGTGTCTCTGTCTCTGTGTGTCTCTGTGCGCGTGTGTCTCTGTGCGCGTGTCTCTGTGCGTGTGTGTCTCGGTGTCTGTGCGTGTGTCTGTGCGTGTGTCTGTGCGTGTCTCTCTGTGCGTGTGTCTGTGTGTGTCTCTGTGCGTGTGTGTGTGTGTCTCTGTGCGTGTGTGTGTGTCTCTGTGCGTGTGTCTCTGTGTGTGTGTGTGTCTCTGTGTGTGTGTGTGTCTCTGTCTCTGTGCGTGTCTGTCTGTGTGTGCGTGTGTGTGCGTGTGTGTGCGTGTGTGTGCGTGTGTGTGCGTGTGTGTGCGTGTGTGTGCGTGTGTGTGCGTGTGTGTG